TTTTTTGGTTTTTTTGTTTTTTTTTTTTTTTCTTTTTTTTTTTTTTTTTTTGGTTGTTGTTGTTTGTTTGTTTGTTTTGTTGGGGGTTTTTTGGTTGGTTTTTTTTTGTGTGTGTGTGTTTTTCTTTGTCATAGCTGTCTGGGGCACTAGGAGCCTGGCAGGAATTTGAGGCCCTGGATGAGGACAGAGTAACTTTGGGAGCACTTGGCTGTGAGATATTTGGGCAAAGGGAGGAAGGCAAGCTGACACTAAGCTGGTAATGAGATTATATCGAATGTGTATTAGGAAGAAATTGCTGCCTGGAAGGAGCTGAGGGGCTGGGACAGGGGGTGAGAAAAGTTCAGCTGTGACCTCCTGACCTTTGGAAAGGCGTTTAGGATTTCCCAGTAAATCCCCCCACCTCTGCCACACTGGGGTGAGGGTTTGGTGAGCTGTGGCTGGGGGGTGATCCCAGTGCCTTGCTTAGGTAGGAATTGGAATTAGGTGCCTCCAGCTGAGGGGTTTGGAAATCATTTCGGGAATATCTTTAAGCTTTGTTGGAAATCCTTTAATTTGTTTAATATTTGGCTGCTTTGGACAAGGAGGGGTGAGTTAGGAGGCTCTGGGCTGTGTCCATGGAGTTCTGCTCTGGGATCCTTGCAGTGGGAGGAGGGGAAAACAGCTCTCAGCACAAGCCCGGGGCCGTGCCAGGAGGATCCTGGTAGAATTGCTTGGATCTGGGGTGAACTTTTTCACGGAGAAATCAAACAAACAACCATTTTGTGCAACGTGCTGCAGAAATTCGCGTGGGTCCCTTCTCCCAGTCTGGAACAACCTTAAAGAGGCTGCTGAGCACAGGCAGGGCAGGCTCTGGAGAGCATCAGGAGCATCCCAAGAGCAGGAGCTGCTTCTGGAACACCAGTTTGGAGTGTTTTGGAGTGATCTTGGTGGTCCCAGCCAGGGTTAGGATCCGGCTTGGGGTGGGGCCAGTGTGAGCAGGGCCAAACGGGGGTGGTATGACTCAAACAATTCGAATTTTGGGCCAGAAAACCACGGAGGGGAGGGGAGAACTTGTGTGAAAGTGGAGCCACCAGGGCTCAGCCTCAATTTCTGAGTTTTCTGTCAGACCCTGAATCCAGCAGGCATGGGGATGGTTCCTGGGGAAGCTTCTCCTGCTGTTGTCATGGCACTGGGAGAGGAGCTGCAGCTCCTGGGGGTTGGGTCTGTGTGTGGTGCTCCAGGTGTGTTTTCCATGCCCCGGATGGGGAAGTTGGGACAGTTCTGGAAGGGAGCAGCCACCTCCCAGCCAGAGCGATGAACAGAGTGTTGTGTGATGCTCTGGGAACCATGGAAACAGTTGTAAAGTGCTGCTGATGGAAGGCTCTGGGATCCCAGGGAGGGGATTGTGGATCTGTGTCTCTGGGGATGGAAGGCTCTGGGATCCCAGAGAGGTGATTGGGATCTGTGTCTGTGGGGCTGTGATGCTGCTGCCGGTTCCTCAGCTGGAAAAGATTCCAGTAGCTCGGGCTGCTGGCAGGGGAAAGGCACAAACATCCCGTTCTTGTGGGAACGGGGAGATCTGTTAGCTGCACAGATCTTGCCCGAGGCAGCTCCAGAGGCTCCAGTTCCTGGCTGGAGCAGCAGCCATCTCCCAGGCCCTCAGGAGCAGTGCCAGCAGGAGCAGAGCTCGTTAGTATTCCAGGGAAACAGCAGTGCTGGGAATGGAGCACAGCGCTCCCCGCTCTGCAGCCTTGCCTTCCATGCTGCCGGAGCAGCATCTGCCACATATCAAACACTCCGATCCCAGAAATTGTTCCTGGCACGGTAGGAGCAGCCTGGATCTGTCCCCAGCCCAGCTCTAATTGACCTCTGGAGAGAGCAGCGTATGGCCAGGGCCGTGCCAGCCCCTGGAATGACCGAGGGCCTGGCTGCCAACTGCTCATCCAGGAGCTCCTGTTCAAATCCCCATTCCAGGAGCCCTTTTCCTTTCTGGGGGACAAAGGAGGATTTTCTTGGGTGCTTCAGTGAGGAGAACAGGGCTCATTTCCCTGCTCATTTCTGCTGACTGCTGTGACCGTGGGTTGGTTGTTGAATATTCCCATTCCTCAGCTTTTTTTGGACCAAGGGCTGCATCAGCTCTGCTCACCTGTGAGAGGACTGGGAACGTAGGTGCTTCCCAGTGACCCTGAGGCTGACAGGATTGGGGACAGGAGGGTGGCACTGCCTGATCCCTGTCATGCAGCCAGGAATCCTTCCCAGCAGCTTTCCAAGTACTTTTTTTTCACTCATAGATGGGTTTGCTCTCACCAGGGGATGCTTTTTTTTTCCATCTTAAAGCATCCTGGTGTCCCCAGAGGAATTATTGACTGCAAGAGTCACTCTTCCCTCGCCTTGCACGGGGGGAGGTTATTAGTGTGGATACTGATTAATCATGCTCTAATTCATGGAAAACAGGGTTTTTCCCTCAAACCATCACCCAGTTGCTGCTCTGTGCTAAGCAGCAGCGAAGTTTTGCCACAGCTGTCGGTTTGTCTCCATGCTAAAGTGATTTTCCCATGTGTCTTTCACCTCCTTCCCCAGTGCATAATGAAGTTTAACTAATACTGGCAGAGATGCCCGATTGGAAAGCTTTGTGGGGAACAAAGTATCTTTATTTTCCTCAGCAAAGTCCTGTCGCAAAGAATCCCTGAGAGTGGGCTCACACACTCCATCAGCTGCATCTTG